TGTTGAACACTGATGTCATGCTGTCGATGATGATGATGCACTTTGAATACAATCTACATGAGTTTTTGACTTGCTCTGGGCATTGATTGCATTCACTGTACCCATGGTTCTGCTGAAAACAGTAGCTTGGGCAAGAACCTGTTTTTCGCAGCTCCTTCAACAACATGAATTTGTTGTCAAAAGCACGGCCTTTGTGGACAAGCCGTTGTAGGTCATACATACTACATGCCCCAACCTGATGGTGTTTATCTGCTGCTCCACTGACCGTGACTAGTTATCTAGTACTGGTCCACGATGAATGCACTGCGAACATGCTGCAAACAGTTATTGTCGGCTAGTCCACCTCTTACGGCAGTGAAGCATCAATATTGGTGTCAGGACGCACCCAGACATGAAAAAAGTACATGTACAGAGAGTGATGCATCCTCAAGGTCACCATCGCTTCGACACGTCCGGAAAGTAGGTGAGTTGGCGGCTCCCACCGAACACGGCTTAGCAACATACGACCAGCGTAGTGCGCCTGAGAGTGTTCACGACCGGAACACCGCCAATGGCTGTGCGGATCGAACAAGCGAACGACCATATTTGGCCATTTAGTCATCCTATATGTGTACGCAGACGCTCTGTATTTTTTTGTCCTGGCAATACAGCCGTGTCCACAGTTCTCTGTCTTCTCCCTATCGCGTAGTCTGGCAGACTCAGCGCAGGCGTAAACATAGACGGTCACCGACGATACAACAATGGAATACTGATGTTATGCTGCCGATGGTGATTAGACATTTGAGGTGTTCAAATCGGAGAGGCCATACGTTACAGTCGTGGAGTAGGACCGGTGGTTTCGTATCCACGACCCTTTAGTTCAAGTGGCATAAGGAAGTGTGGAATGATAAACTAAGAATGCTCTGATAATTTGTGAGGCGCTTGTCAGAACTGAGGGGACATTTCCGGATCGTGTGGAGTCACGATTTTTAACAGAACGTTGTCGTCCGCATAATCCCTATAATCGTTCCGGATATGTCCAGTCATTGTGAGACAACAGAAAGACGAGAAAACTTACGCCGGCCGTTGGCAGCTTCGAATCAGCGTCTGACCAAATGCTCCAGACACAACGGACACATTATCAACCCGGTTAGAGCCCCAATACTCGTGTTAGCCCTTCACTGTAGTGGAAACGCCGCCTCTACAAGATGACACACTTTACTGGGGGCATTTCTTTGGAACTGATTATTCTCATACCAGAGCGATTTCTTAGTGCCCACTCCACACCACACCGATGCACTATGAGATGAACGCGGGAGATTACACAAACGTCCAAATTAGTGTGTTAAAGAATGTAAATAAAGCTTGTTGAACGGCTGACTCGGAGGATTCCATCTTGTTAACAAGGTTGTTGTTATATGCCTTACGAGACGCACGGGCGCTGCTTCAGATATGTGCTGATCACAGACTGTTCCCTTACAGTACCAGCTTCCGGAACAGTGGAAACCACTTGACAACGTGGTGCCCACGAATGCGCCAGCCCGGAATCCAATTAGACAACGTCACTATCAGTTACCGGAGCGAGGGTCGATCACTACTTGCCGCTCCTTCTGGAATACTAGCTTGGGCTTCGACCATGCACTTGTCTGCTGCCCTTTTGGACGCGCACACCTCGCGCGTCTACTGACAAGCTAATGGACCCAGAAAACAAACAAACCTATCCCCTTTTCGAACGCCTGTCGGATAGTAACGGCCACTGGGAACATATCCAAAGCGCTATTCAAAGCTGGAACTTCCATCTGCGTAAAATCCTGCCAACATCATCCAAACATTTGATCTCTGGTAGGACGGGGGCTTTGCTATAGGCCCGGCAACAGACTATTCCTGGCTGCAGCTCTAGCCGACACATCATGCGGTGTCAAGTGAAACGGAGTGCCCGTACAGACCGAGCAGTGGACCCGAAAGTCCGAAGAAATGGAAGGGGTAAAAATGCTAGAAACGCTCGTAGGTTATTCCACTTAATTCGTCCGGCTGGTTCTCGGAAGCCTCTTGTCAGCGAAGCTATCACGGACCAGCAAAGGAGAACGGTTGGATCGTTAGGCACAATACTCCGAACAACAATTCGGCTGGCCACTTTCTGCCTCAAATCCGGATTGTCGGCCTTCAGCAGAAAGCTGGACTGTGATCCTGGAGATCCCTTTAGCCTCAAACGTCATCATACTGTTGGTTCTGACGACCTTCCACATGCTCTGTTCAAAGATGGCGATGAATTCCCCAGACAATGTCTGTCCAACTTATTTGAATCTATCTGGGAGAAAGAGACCGTCCCAGACAACCGAAATGAATCGATAATAATGCCCAATCTCAAAAAGGTACTCACAGTGAATGTAACCGCATGAGTGTTAGCTTAACTCCCGTTGTAACAAGACTTCTGGCCTCATTGACTCGTGAACATCAAACGGGATTTCGACCGAACGGAGGCTGCGTTGACCACGCCTTCGCAACCCTTCAGGTGTTTTGAGTAAAGTCATGTGTACGGACGGCCCACAATCTTGGTATTGCTTGACTTCAAGTGTGTGTTCAATTATGTCGATCAGTCAGTGCTGTTAACGACACTCGCTCAACAGGGTATGCTACAGAGTTTTGTGAATCTAGTCATGTTCCTTTATTCGCATACTTCTGAGCGTGAGTTCATGGTAAGCTGTTCAAACGCTTCCATAGAAAAGTGGTGTTCAACAAGGATATTCACTGTCTGTTCTTGTTCATCGTTTTCGATGAAATGATGAGGCGAACACTAGAAGTTGTTCAGACGCCCGGTGTTCAAAACGTTGCTGCTACGAAAATTATTATCTGGAGTACGCAGACGACACTGTCCGCTTTGAATACGAAAGCGAAGCACGAGCCCTGTTGGATGAACCGACCATCGTTATACCATCTTTTGGCATGCGCCTTCGAAGTGCAAAGTTATGCTTCAGAACGTAGGTTAGCAGTTTGGATTGACGAACTGGTACGAATGTTTGAAGTGCAACTCTCCTTTTAGCAACTTGCTGCGGATAACGACCTTCATTCCCAGTAAATACGGATTTCGGTTGCTATTTTGTGAGTTGTACCGTGTTATTTTCCGGTTAATATTTTTTTCGTATCGGACGTGAAGTTACCGAGTGGTTTCTCAAGGCCTTCAATAACATATTTTTATCTAAAGCAAATTATTTTTGAAACAACGAAACAATCTGGTGTAAAAATTGTGCATACTTGTTTACCAGACCAGTTTTATTGCAAGGGGGCTGGTCCCATCAACTGACATGCCATTTGTCTAAGTTCGTTGATCCCTCGAGGCGAAAATTGCTGAATGTAGTGGTCGAACTGTCTGGATTCAGGATCCTTATCCACACTGTCATGTGTTAGTATTCCCTCCATCCAAGAACATGCGCTGTAACGAATCTAATCACCTTAAAAGGACGCTGTACAATAGTCGCCACTCCATAATTCACCCTTGCCTATAATCTGTTCGGAGTTTCCAACATGAAACAGAGACAGTCTATCTTTCAGGACTAGCTTTGGTTTTTCCTCGAAAATCCGCCTGCGCATTGACATAATACACACTACTTCAGGGCACATTCAGTAATCTCCGTTTTTGTGTACTTGGTGTGCAATGACAGTTTTTATTCTTTGTTTCTTGCAGTTTTCTAATTCTGGAAGTGGATGTTCCAGCGAGGTTCATCTGTTTTGCTTTCGTTTTAGGGACTTTCTTACTGGAGCGTCAGTCGCACCGTACCAAATCCAATATTCGCTCCCATCCAGAAGATGATAACTCTTTGGACTATCGCATTCCACTGGTTTCCCTGGCAGCTATGTCAAAGCCATCAGTACCACCCCCAATACCTCCGCACAGGCGGTCCGTTCCCTTGGAGAGAGGGTCCGCCGTACCAGTCCGCACGCGGCTAATCGATTCAGTCAATCGGACTCCAGTGGCCTTAGTCCAGCAGCAACTTCCTACGCAGCCCCATTCACCCGTATTCACAATGATTGCTCCGGGAGAAAGTAAGCTGACAGAACCGGTTCATCGCACCCCTTACCGACCTCGAGACTCTACATCGCCGGTTCTCTCCCAAACGACACCTGTGCACAAAAACAACTCCGAGAATAATCGGGAGTATACGTGAGAAGGCCTAGGGTGAATGTTCTGCGTAGAGCTACTCGCTTCGGACAAGCTGGCCAAGTTGTTTCAAAGCAAAGGTTGCTCAAGTCTTTCAACCTGGTTTTCGGTACATTTTCTCGCCCGACATCAAACACGTCACCACATGTGATAGCAGTTAATAGCGTGACAGTCCCTCCCTAAAGTCCACTTATCATATGCCAAACACCAATCCTTTTAAGTTTCCACAAACGAGGCACTTGACCCAATGAATCGTTTTGCTGCCCTTTTGCTTCGGTGCAACTCTTTTAGTCTTTCTCGCCTTATCAACACTTTTTCACGTCCCTTCACAAGTTTCTCACTATCCCAGATATTTTCGCCCCCTAGGTGGGCGTATTGGCAGCGCCTCAATTGCTTGTCACACGTACACCCGCCACTTTTTTGATCTGGAAAATAAAATTTTCCTCTTCGAAATTAATCGTTACTAGGTGTGCTATCTGGTTTGGACTCCTTTTGAATATGAAGACAACAATGACCGATTCACCGTGTCGTACGCATCGGTCAAATTTCTCAAAACTCGGAATTCAAATGGCCACATCTTTGGGCGTCGTGGAAAATACTACCTCAACTTCACTTTTTATAAAGACACTGATTTTGCGGTCACAGGAAAAGTTCAATGTAGGAAGGTTTACACTCAACTCAGAGAAATTTATCATTCATCGCGCGACACAATCGTCAAAGTTCATGGAAATAGAGAATGTTCCCTCTTAGGTATTATAGGCCGAGCGTACCCAAGTATCCAATGCACCGTGTAGGACGAGAGTTTACACCAACCGAATAAACCCTGACTTGCTGGTCGGCAGTCTAATTCAGAAAGCTTCGTCGGAGACACAAGTTACTAGCTAATCCATTGGCTCTTTAGATATAGCATTCATGGGCGATGAAAGGAAAAAACAAATCATGGTTCATTTATTCCATCCGTTGTCGGTTGGTACCCTCGGCAATTTTCCGAACCTCCGACAGGCCATGAATATTGTACAATCACGTGCATTTCGATCGATAAATGGGGTGCCTTCATTTCGTTATTGATCTATACGAATGCTTGATTCACTTAGAGGCTGTGATTGCCTAAGGAGTGTCCAGTTGTACTGCAACGATTCCGGTCGAGACCACACCTGTCCTAGTTGGCAGAGCTGTTCGGCAAAACAAATGGAGCGTGCCCGAATCGTTCCGCGATACTTGGCCCATCAATACCACCCACACCAACTCCATCAGATCCAGATTACACTACCCATGCACAAACTGTCCATCCAGCGAGGACCCGGGGGCTGTATTACTCTTCCTTATACTGTGGCACCAAGCTCATTTGGCTGCGTTTGAACTGAATACATGCTAAGAAAATGCGTAGGGTAATCTACTAGGAGTCGTTTCGTTTGTTCTCTGAAACGTAAAAACCACTCATGCTTTTTGGTATGTCAGCCGACCGTCGACTTCTCTGCTGGGCGGACGGTGTTATTGTAATTGGTCAAGAAATTTCCACCAAACCTGTCCCGATGAAGTTATTCCAGTTGAGCCCACTGAAGTTGAAAGCCATGGGACTTAAGTTTATCTGGCGTCAAAATGGTGTCAACATGTAATCAGTTCAGTGCAGTTCGTTTTAGCTACCCTATTTTTGATGGTGGACCGAAAACGAACTCACCGCTCAATCGTCCGGTCCAACGAATATCTCTTACAAACAACAAAGACTTCGGGCCAAAAGCCGTCGATTAATACCCTTAGCCAGGTTGAACTAGTGGAAATAACTAGAATTTCCAAGTCCGTATATAGACGGTACTCCGGGGAAAATCCAGTTTTCTGACTGCCTGAACCAGTCCACAAGTCCTGCTCAGCAAAGGATAGTGAAGTGTGCCAAGCGAATTGGAGTGCCCTTGTGCTATTTCAGATAGCCCAAAATGATGACATAACGGAATCTGAAAAGTATCGGGGCACCAGCTCGAACATAAATCCCCAAATCTTTGTCATTGTACCACTTCGCTCAGTCAAGTCTTATTAGACCAAATTGGGTGCTCCCCTTCTACTGATTGAATCACGCTACGGCGTTTTCTTACACCGATATAAATTAACGGAACAAACTGCCATCAGATTCGTCGAATTGCATGCATTACTGGACTGTCAACGGGGAGTCCTTTTGGCTCATTCCGAAAGCTTATGACGTGCCAGATGAGCTGTTCAGTCGCATCGCAACCTAGTGCACAAACACAAAAACCTGTGGTTGAGTCTATGAATAAGTGTGGATTGATTTTGCATCAGACTACGGTTTTCAGCGGGTCTACATGGTTTCGCTTATCCATCCCCGTTTTGTACTCGACAGAGCATGCCCTCAGTAATTTCCACAGAGTAAACCTAAGCCTCAAGACTTCGGTTGAGGCTAACTGACTGGCTAACTCATGCTGGTGACACCGTCGTCAGTTGAATAGTTAATCGCACCGGTCACTATGCCTTCTTGGAAATGAATACTGAAAAGACGAAACGACAAAAATAATTGCCATTCAATCATGGCTGCTCACTGTCAAGCCTGGAAACCGAGCAGGTTGCTACACGCACATTGACCCGACTTTCCCTCCAAGTGGACACAAACGGTGAGAAATGTTCTCACCGATAACAAGAGAGCCCCTACTTAGCTCTAAATCGTCTTATGAGGAAACTCGGAAATCAGCCTCCAGCGTGTGCACGACGCAACCGTAGTACCGGTACCTGCATAAGTACGAGGGCAACAGTCGACTGGCTAAATCAAATACTTCAGTTATTTGATGTAATATAAAACATACTCTCATCACGATACATACTGCTGGTAGGCCTAGTACCTCCACCGTGAACAGTAAGCCGAGGGTCACATTTTGATGTCTACATCTATTAAATCAACACACATAGGCTTCATGTTTTTTAAGAAACGAAGAATCTAAAGGCCACCAAATGACTGCAATTGCGACATGTGTACAGTGGACTGATCAGTTACTGCAGCTAAATTTGAGACGTGCTGAATTCTCACGAACTGATGCTCAATAACTCTCAAAGAGAGCAGAGTTTCGGTGCTGCAAAAACACGAAATCGCTTTGAACAAATATTAAGTGATAGTGAGAAAAATGAGCAGAAGGAATCGATAGGTTGATGCGCAGCTGCACGTAAAATTGCTGAAATCTGCGGTAACAGAATACAGAGAGGAGAATCGGTATTATCATATACACAAAACCCGATAAAATGAACATACAATATGCGGTATATACACACAGAGAAGAATAGCCGATAGAAGTTATATACATGAAAAAAACGGGCAGCAGAGGCTGATTGCGAAATCTAGACTGTCCGGTTGAGCTCGCACATGAGTGACAGCAGGGGGCTTAGGTCCCGACCAGTATCGAAAGACTGTGGTAATTTCATCTGTGGCAGGAGTGTTCTCAATAGCAGGACAATCTGCGCACGTAGGACTGCCAAACAGTGATATGGGTCGGGACAAAGAGATACTACGGGATGAAGTTTGTCTCCAGGTGCCAGGTCGTCATCGATCGAGTTGGCTGTGGTTGTAAGAACGTTTTGGTGCCAGGTCGTCGTCGATCGAGTTGGCTGTGGTTGTAAGAACGGACAACAGACGGGCAAAAAATTGATCCACACGTGGAGAATGTACATCGAAGGCAGACAGTGGAACACTGTGTGGAATGAGCGTATTCAAAAGTTCTAGGGTGCGTCTCCTTAACTCGACAGCCTCTTGGTGTGCGGCTACATGTTGCCACACAAATCGTTGCTCATCAGTGCGTTGGCAACATAAAAGCCATTCACTTAGCAATTGGATTAACTCGCTAAATGCATTGGAAGCCAATAAAGCCAACTGATCGATATAATCCGGTTCTAGAAAGAGTGGAGGAAGGTCTAGGGGTGGATCTGTAGATGTAGGGATAGAAACGGGATAGGAGACCTCTAGACCGTCCACAAAGTCAAATACATAGAGCCTAGAGGAATTCTCCGCACCATCCACAAAGTCACAAAATCCCAGCTGATAGGTTTCATGAATGTCCAGCGTTTCGTATTCGACAGCGACCACTTCGCTCTGCATTGACGGTAGTCTTTGATCAACAATAGAGGTATCAATGCCATTCATTAGCAAGGGGCCATTTAAATCCGATTTACCGGTGAATGGAGCACACGCGGGAGTGTCCAACAATGGTTTGTTTTCATCAGAATACCGGTTTTCCACTGACTCTCTTTGAAGAAGAACATCAGTAAAGCTTCGTGATGTGCTCTGGGCAGGGGTTTTCCGAGTGACTGGTGTGCGGACCTGGGTGTTAGTCTGCTTTACGTTTGATGGCGACAGTAGTCCCCTCAAACTATCCGTGAAACCGTAGATGGGAAGAGATTTTAGCTCAGTCGTCATCAGTTCATTCCTTAAGTTGTTCACTTTGCTGAAATAAATAGATTCAGAAATCGCTATTAGACAGGGTATAAATTATTACATAGACAATATGCTGCCAAACGCACTGAAACCACTTAATCCAACAAGTACGTCACTACCTTAATTCGTGATACTTAAGAGACAGTGTTTATGGAATCATGCTGGTTGGGGCGCGTTAAATGGATGTCGCGCGATCGTCCAGGCGATACTTTGGGGGAAAAGCGACTTACTCTCCAGGCGAAATTGACCCATGAGTTGAACAAACCTGTTAATGGTATTAGTATCCCGAAAAACCATTTAACTGTCGGACTATTACAGAGTTATTTTTCGAGAGTTCGAATTTCAATTTTTTGAGAAAGTTCCGCCATCTTGGACACTTCCGAAAAGACCGTGTTTCCTTCTTGTTGGCTAGGTGCACCTTGTATGTGCTAACGCACATATCTTTCTCAAAGGTCACCCAAAAATATGTATCCGTCGTTCCTCCTGCTGCATATTAGAAAAAGAAAGAAAGCATTCAGCTGTAGCACTCTTTCGGTGCCTAGCTGCCATGACACCCGAAGGAAGCACGAGGGCTGGGATACTGCCAGGTTGCCCAAGCCTAGACAGGATAAGTCGAGAGGCGGAGGTCGGATTCGAACCACGGACCTTCCGGTCAATAAATTCGCGCTCTAACCACTTGGGCCATCTTTCCCCCACTGTATATTACCTTTGGTTGATGCAGTAAAAGCTCTCCTCCGAAGGTCCGGTCTTCCCTCTGCGCTAGGATCGATTGGGCTCGTGTAGTCGCTGCGGGTTGTGCGCTCGTTCTCATGTCCCATATAGCAGTTGATCGTACCCGTTCACGCCAATTAAACCAATTAACTCAAAGGAAATAATCCACTCTGAAAGAAGGGAGCTACCTACGCCTACCTAATGAACATGGAACAAGGCGAAACTAGTTGGGGGCTGTCTGTGAATTTCAGACAATCGTCCTACTCAATATCTTCACATCATCATCATCGACAGCATGACATCAGTGTTCAACACCCATGCTTCACTGCCGTACAACCATGACTTATTTGAAAGTCTTATTGTAAAGAAAATGGGCATGGAAACAGCACTCTCTTCGGCAAACGATGGTCCGGCATACGTAACACATGTCCCAACCAACGCACTTCTGGTGCTGGACACATTCTTTAATGGAAGTACCCGTTACACAACCGAAAACGCGATTT